TATAGAATGATTTGGAATTATGTTTTAACATCGGACATGACTCGGGTGTAATGTTCTTCTTATCATGAAGAGGTTCTAATGTTTATTTAAAATGAGATGAATCCATACTCCCGCACCCAAAAGACACGATCACGTCAGTAAAGACCAGTTCGTTTCTCAGCTTCCTTAGAAACTCAAACCGCCGCAGGTATGGAATGTATTGGTGTATTGAAGGTCAATGGTTTAGTCATCACAAAACAAATATCTGGTAATAAATTCTGAGAAGGCTATTCGTTATGTTATACATATTTGTTGCATGATCTATTTGCAAATAATGACAATTATGTTTAAATAGAATTATAACCAGACATCTTTTAAGAAATAGCATTAATCTTGAATTTCGTACATTTTAACTCAGGGACGAAATTTCAAAGTTCACATTGCCAAGCTTATTACTTCAAAACGCATCGAGATTTACAATTTATTTGATAAGTGGAAATAATCAAATTCAATAGATGTGGTATCTTTTTACTGGTAAAAACGCAACTTAAATTATGGAAATACAACAGACATTTCTATCTGTCTGGTGATGTTTGCATTGCCATGGTTACGCAGCAGGTGAAAATTCATAATACGAAACACCAGTTTTGTAAACCATAATGCTGACATCACAGTATCCAGTGCTAAAATTGTCCATCAGAGAGGCTATTTATTTCTTATTTTTTTTCAGGTCTGGATGTAGTACATCCCTGATAGCAGTCTTATATTTCGTAGACAATTTACAGATGTGGTGATTAAAACGAGTCTTTCCTTGGTTTGTCTTTGGCGTGGCACCAAATGCCATAATCTCAACATAATCATAAACAAAACAAGAAGAAAATATGAACAAAAGAAAGAACAAGGAGAATAAGACCAAGTGTTCCGGTAGAGTAAACGTCTTCTGCTTCATCGGCAACACCAGACATTTAAACCTTGGTCAATCCAAGTAAGTAATATAATGTTTTTACAATAACGAAACCAACATGCAACTAAGGAACATCAAATACGTCCAGCTTCATATCTCTAATATAATATTTACATTTCTTAATGAGATTACTATGAATATTGTTTATATTCTCCATGATTTTCAAATCAATCTGCATCTTTTAAAACCCTGTGATTTGAGTTTGTCCGTCAGTTGACGACACCTTGCAAGAAAATAGTGATGCTGGGACAAGTCTCCGGTACAAAATATACACTTTTTTATACTTTGCAAATTATATATATATATATATATAATACACACATCCAACGGTCATACAATCATTCAGAAAATATATACTTATTACACAAGATAGCAATCACTTCAGATGGATAGACTCTGCCTGGATACAACGAAGCTCCAAATAAGTCTTGGACCGTATTCATGAAACCGTTTTCATGCTCAAGTTAGAAATTAATAATTAAGGCTGATTTTTGCCATATATTTAAAAACAATTTTGAAAGGGCTTCAAGTCAAAGCTATATTCAAGGTTTAGATTTGACATTTGTATTATTTTAGATGATGAGATTAATTATTTCAAAAGAGTTTGCTTGTGCACAAAATATATGCTTGAGCATGAGAATGGTTTCATGAATACGGGCCCTGGTCTTTATTGTTGTCTGAATTCTCCAGCCAAACTTCCAAGAATTTCTTCCCTCCATCACCCCTTCTTTAAGAATGATATAACACCGGATACAAACAACAGGACCGAAACAAAAAAAAGAACACAGTCAGAAGTATATGACATATCAAGTAAAATGAGACATGCATATATATCTAAACAGAGAGACACCAAACAGGACCAGTTCTTCCCATGATTCATGATATTTATGGCGAATATATAGTCACTCGGTTCACCTAGAACCTAAAGATGCCACCCCCACAGGACCATCGATCACAGCCTCACTGCCTCGTGCATGGTTTAGAATGCACCTTGCCACAGTTGATTAAACTCATGTCAGTTCCCCCATATCTGGGTTTCGAGTTAAAATATTCGTACGTTACTTCATTGTTCCTATATTTTTAAAAACCAATTTATACATTTTTTACTCCATTAGATAACATATAAAATGACAGCGCATTCCGCCTTAATACTTTTTCAACTCGTGCGGCCACTTAAACATGATAGCATTCACTGTACCAATAAAGGGGAGAATGGGAAGAAGATGAGAGAGAGGGGAGAGAATCCGAGACAGGGGACAGAAATAGAACGTGGATAGTGGGTTAAAAGGATGAGAGAGAGAGAGAGAGAGAGAGAGAGAGAGAGAGAGAGAGAGAGAGAGAGAGAGAGAGAGAGAGAGAGAGAGAGAGAGAGAGAGAGAGAGAGAGAGAGAGAGAGAGAGAGAGAGAGAGAGAGAGAGGAGGGAATAGAAAGAGTGTGATTGTATGTGGCTATTCAGAGGTTACATAAAATACAAGACATAAAATAAAGTATATAAATAGTTCTCTAGCATCTATTTAACTAACTACTGCTAATAACTATGAAATATTATATTAATAAATATGTACTTTCAATTTTCCCCTATGATCTTTATTTTACTGTACACACTACTAGCCATACAAAGTGAACGTGCATCACGATATGACCGCACTATTTTCATACGAAATGTGACATCGGTTTCCCCATCCATACCCCCTTTCCCCTCTAGTTTGATCACTAGCATCACTGATGAGTTGTCGACAGTTTTACTCATTTTTGTATAAACTGTAAATACTTTTCACTTTAAGGTCATTCGCACTTGAATATGTATTAAGTGTTGCCACGACAAAAATATTTCCGTTTTATGTCCTATAGCTATCTCGCTAATCATGGTGTCCGTCCTTTCTCCACTTGCCTACTCTATCATTTCTTGTTATTGTGTATCTACATAATATTTAAGCAAATATCGACTAGTTACGGTAAATATCCAAGGTTTCGCGATACGTTGCAATATTTTTTCATTGAACTAGCAACAATGTGTACATCAGATCAGAACACCTTGGAAAGAGAACCAAGTCTGGAGATTTTTAAGAAATGAGTCCGATGTAAAAGCTTGCAGGGTGGACCTCACAAATATCTTAATACCCGCAAATGGGTTACTTGAAGGACACATACAACAAGAAGATGCATTCATGTCCATATAGATAAAAAAACTTATGTAAGTGAAAGGAGCACTTTTTTCTTAAAAGTATAAAAAAAAAAAGATAAAAAGGATATCTTTAACAAAAAAAAACAACAAACAAACAAACAAACAAAAAACAAAAACAAAAAGAAGAAGAAGGAATGTTTGTAGGTTTTGTATGGTCACATTCAGGGATGATCAGGTTGCAAATGTTCTCAGGAATTGCAAATTGCAAATTTGATACGTCAATGCAACACAAATGTGAATTAAACTATATAAACACAATTGATCTTTAATTCTTCAGCGAAGTATACAATAGATACGTTATTACACAGATGACAATACCTGAAAACGTTACTTCCTTTCCTTTCCTATGTCAAACCAAAACTTAATATTCAAAATCTTTTTCTTTTTTCATATTTATAAAAAGGGTATTTAATTTACTCTTTGAGAGATCATTTCGATTGGAGCATTACCCAATGTTTTCATTATTACACAGAACAACTAACATTAATTTCCGTTTTTGATATAAGTATATTGTTGAAATGGCGTAAGCACGACAGATAAATGCTTCAGAATTTGAGTGTGCTGTTTTGAAGACATTTACCGTAATTCTACAAACATTAATATATTTAAGGCCCAATGAGCATATATCAGGATATTTTATAGTGAGAGGAGGCTGTAGCAAAGATCATGGATATGTATATCAGTGTTCTTATCCTGAAAATTGTATTATCTATCTATTTTCTTCACCAGACAGTGGATACTTGTACGATACATTTGTTGTAAGTAACGTATATTTTGTATTAATCACCACGTAATTATCCTTTCATGTGTTCAAAGTGTGTTCATTTCATCATTTTCTGTTTCTTATTTATGAGACACACAGTTTGCGCGAGCAGTGGAGGAAGCGATCAATTAAAATAACAAAAAACAAAAAAAAACAAAAACGGATTAGTTTAGCACATTCAAATCTAAATTCTTAAATTTCTCAGTAGGCTGCACGTAATTTCTTTAAGTCCCAATCAGGGCTTGCTTCAAGTATTGCTTAATGTTTCATAATGTCTCCTTTTTATGTTAACCTATTTGTTGTTTGATATTTGAAAACAAAAACGTTCTTAACGTAAGTTTGTAAATAGATTGGAGAAATTTTATGTTCTCTGTATCCTCAAACATTACTTGTGAAATCTTCTGTTTTTTTTTTAAATAGGACTCGAAGAACTTATTCCTACACTGGGTACCAATTGGAATGGGTTCCCTGTTTCCCCCGTGAACTCTTGGTAATACCCATGTGCAAATTGAACGGATATAGGCCAGAGTAAGTACAGTTTTATAAGGACAATCAAACATTAAATTGCCATATATTTGCCATGCAAGAGGCATACAATGAAATAGAGTTCCTTCTGTCTCTTACACCACAAAATATCACCATACACCTCAACTTTGTGATTCCCAGACTAATTTTATTTTGTTTCTGCTTTGTTTGTTTGGTTATTTTGATTTCGTGACCTGAATTCTGTACCTACATCGATGAACTCGGATAAAGAATTCACTAGAAGACCATTGCGCATGCGCAAGATGGAAACCGTATATCGAATAATGAGATTAGAGTCGGTACTATTTCTCATATGGGCAAACAGGTATGAAACGAGTGGAGAGTTGGTTTTATGTATATATACACTAATATAAACTAATATATGCAGCAATGTTGATGAAATGATTTATTTTACCTGACGTCCGATGATTTTTTTTCTTATCGGTCTGGATAGACGTCCATCGACTTCAACCCATCAAAATAATTCGGATATCTTTTAAAAACAAATTATTTTATATATCACATTTCGAGAAGAGAAAATATTTCTTTATGTCTTTGCTACAGCTACCAATTGAAAAGCAAAATGTACTATAGCTACGAACTCAGCGGAACAGAATGTTGTCCAGGTTACGCAAAACAAAATGGAGGAGATGTATGCACACCGATAGAACAAGGTATAGAAAATAAACCGTAAGACATTTTGTCTGATACTGAAGGGCTAAATTAAGTGTATAGTTAATTTAGGGATAAGATATTCGCAAAATCTAAATTAAACGCATGCGTGAAAAAGCATTGTATTGACTTATTAAGATTTATTATTATTATGAACGACAAAATGACGTGGAAGATAGTAAAGAAACAATACCAATCTTAATTTTTTAAAGAAAGAATACCTATAGCATTATTCACAATTCCGTTTTGCGTAATTCCTTCTAGATACTGCCATACTTTTCACGTATCAGAAAATATTTTAGCAAATTATCTCTTGTATTGTGTACTTGTTTATAGTTTATAGACATACTGCCTTGACATTTGATAACATTCGAAACGTTAAAAGGCTGTTGGTGTTTAAACATATTAGCTGGATATTGATTTGATAAGCAATGATATTTTAACAATAATCCTTTCAAAAGGCAAAAACAACACGATTGTTTGAACGGCATCAATTTTATACTACAGGAAGTAGCTTTCAGATCTCAATAGAAATCGGCTGTCACTGGAATCTTTCTAAATGTTGTTGTATTTATATTTTTGTTGTTATATTAAGTAATTATACAATTCTTTCAGGTTTTCTGTCTGTTTAGTCCCTTTTCACTAATTTAGATATTCGTAGCATGCTTAATGTAATTTTACTTTCCATAACAAATGTGAAAAGGCTGTGATGAGAACTATTATAGAACTGAGGGGGAGTGCAAGCCATGTGACTGTAACAGGGAGAATGCAAATGTCGGATGTGCAAGGGGATCGGGAACCTGTTATTGTAAATCAGGATACGACGGACCACAGTGTAATTCTGGTAAGTTGTCATATTCCATACATCCATACGGGTTTAATTACATTCACGTTGATATCTATTTTATATGAATTGTCATATATAATATGCATGTTGGCTTTGGCTGGTTTGATATCGGAAGGCTTCGAGTTTTATATCTAGGACTTTGATTAGAAGATGTATTTTATTGGAAGCTCAACACCTGGATGTTCAAAACAATTAAGGTATTCTTCCTCTACACTATCAATGACATGAAGCAAATATTCTCACAACTATTGGAGAACGAGTCAACTAAAGTTTTTGTTTGTTATTCAGAATACCTTATTGCCGATTATTTTTTTCGGGGATGATATTTTCACTATTTCACAGTACATCAAATTGATCACGAAAAGTTGATCCGTAAAAGTAAGAAACGTTTGTATAAGATATAATTTTAAATCCAGAGTGCAAAATTTTAATTCATTAATATTTAACCCTCGAAAATTACGAGCAATATAGTATTAATATCGACTGTTTTTTACGGTATGAAAAAATATATATGTGGCATTGTTTGACATCATTTTAACAAAGTAAATATGTGTTTATTATTTAGTAATGGTAAAAATAATAGAGGCTATTCTTATTTCAAATAGGTTGTGCTACATCATAAGATCACTTACGAATTGATTTAGTGTTGAATCTGGTGTGTTTAAAGGTCATTTAAGGGGAAAACTAACTATGAGAGCATATCTAATACTCAACAATTCAACGGTGGTCTTGAATTTCGCAAGTATGTCTTAACGATAGATATCTATTTAATTTTGTTGTACCCAAATGGAATAAACAATTAAAGGTACTGGGCACAAAACATTATATGTGTATAGATATAAAGGTTAATATAAACTGATATCATTGTTTGTAGAATGTCCCGACGGCTTTTTTGGAATGAATTGTAGATACCCATGTACCTGTAAAGACAACAGCACTTGCAACAAAACCGATGGACAATGTCCATGTACTATGCCGGGATGGACAGGCATATCATGCACAGAGGGTTTGTAGACCAACGATTTCAAATTTTCATGCAGAAATAAGATTATTGGAGAGAACATGTAAAGACAAAGAATTGATAATTATAAAAGATCAATCAACTATTAGTTTATATGAACCCCCAAACGTGTCGTAGTTAGTTAGATTTGCCTAGATTTACATCACAAGTATTGTCGTTGGTGAAGTACAAGACGCCTGTTATTCCTGAATGTCATATTCTCATTGTCCGTTTACAATGGTATTCGTGTGAATCTTTCTTTTGTTTTAGTCTCATATATCGATTTTGAGTATTTGAATGACGTACATTGTCGATTTTTCATCATAGTTGGCATCGATATATATATACATACGTCCTGTTCTAGTGTAAGATGTAACACAATAAAACTTTCATAACATAACATAACGCAATTTCCATTTCATTTTATCATTGTTTTTTGCATGTTTGACTTTTTACAGCTTGCCCACCAAATCAATTTGGAGTGTTATGTGCTGGAACTTGTGACTGTTTGTCTGACTCCAAACGCTTTTGTGATCCAGAAGATGGATGCATCTGCAACAATGGATACACAGGAGAGTTCTGCGATGAAGGTAACCATATTTGCCTTGCAACAGCTAGTTTTACCGGCTGGTAAGGCCAAGGTGTTATGTTTTTGATACCGCCATGTCGTATGACGGGTGGTATTATAGGTGCACTAGCAGAATCAAATGGAGATAAATGGCAAGGAATATTAAAGATATCTACTATCTTTTAAAGCATTCTTTACTGAACTATATGGTTTGACATTGCTTACAACTTAAAGTCACAAAACTCGTTTTACTGACACTCAAATCTACTTTTAGCTATGTTGTCTTTGAATCATTTGCCAAAGGAGTGACGTTTTTTCATTGAAAACCATGTGTGATATACTTAAACGACAATGATAGCACTACAAAGGGTTCCTAGTGACTGGATCAACATCTTCATATACAAACAGCAGTTATGAGGAGGTGAAACATTCCCCAATACAAATATACGCCGAAAGTTGTATGTGAGCACATGTACCCTGACATAATCACATAATCAGACCAAGATTATATGTGTAACACTACATAGAAAACAGTTGTGATATAAAGATGAAAACGAAGGATGTTCGGATAGCATAGCCGTCTTTTCACCTAGGTGCCCGGAGTTCGATCGGACGTGAAATGTACCAAATGGGTAATTTTTGTCGGGTATTCCTGTCTGATTCACAGTTATCCCCAACTTGAGCCTCAGTCAAGAAACTCTACAAGTTACTAGCTACTTTCGCAACTTTGTAAAAATAATTAAACCATGATGGTACATTACATGAAATTTTAAATGGAAATTCTTTCAAAAAGCAAAACACGGCAGCAACACTTCATTTTAAACAATATACATCAGTTCATCAGGATGTATCCATGATAATACTTAAGAAGAATTATATAGTGTTTACATAACTTCTCTTCATTTGATATCTAATTATCTTTCTGTGTATTGTCATTCCGTAGGTTTACTGTTTCCATGTGACTGTGGTATATGTTTATCTATATTATATGTTTATACATGTTAAAATAAAATGTTCAGAGACCCGTAAATAGAACATACTACGACTAATTTTCCCTTACAGTGTGCGCCCCTGGTAATTGGACATACGGACCAGCCTGTCGTGAAAAGTGTCTTTGTGAACAAATGGGATCTGAGAGATGTGACCCCAAGACTGGAGAGTGTACATGTAAGCCAGGATGGCAAGGACACTATTGCACAGAGTGTGAGTGTTTCTATGATGCAGCAGCCTCACTATGAATTAAACTGTCTTCATGATTATCTCCCTTTGATTAATATTGCAGTGTTAACGTTGCTAACTTATATGGTTAACTTATAAGAAAACAAACTAGTACTGTACGTGCAAAACCATAGGGATTTCAATATCTGTTGTTTATTTACATAATTATTTCTTAATTCATTTGCTTACGATTATTTCGCAAAAACCACATCGGTGAATAACATAGTTCAATACCAATTTAGGTTTAGAGCCAAATGATAAATGAAACTGCATTATATAGCACATCCATCCTTCTTGGACTTGTCAAGAGCCGAAATTTTGAAACCAAAATTGATTGAAAGAAATGTCAAAATGCAGACGAGGAGTTTCACTAGCCCAATATTTCATTAACTTCAGTAATGTAAACATTTAGTGCTGGACCAGGCTATTTCGGTTTCTTGAAATCGCTTAAATGATATTGTCTTGTTATATATATATATATTTATTTTATTGTTTTGTGTACGTATTCTTTAGTGTGCAGTGATGGTAAATACGGATCATTCTGTAACGAAACTTGTCAGTGTGAATTCTATCAGGTCTGCCATCCAGTAAGTGGAGATTGTGAGTGTCCACAAGGATTCGCCGGTGACAAATGTGACATAAGTAAGTGATACAGAGCCCTTTTTTAGTTACTAAGTGAGAAATTATTGACCTTTAGTTAGAAAACAAAAAAGTTTAACTTCAAGGTTGTGTACATCTATCATGATAGTTAATCGTATTTTTCCCAATTGTGATAATTACATTTGATAGCCACGGATATTCATAAAAAGTTTAAAAAGCAATTGTTGTATTCATATCGTTTTTTATTGACTTTAGAATTTTTTAAAGCATGTCTGACACCTTTCTTTCACGTTGAAATAATTCTATGCTATCAAATGATGCAAGTAATCATCGCGCATTTACACACACAAAGTAGTGACACGGTTACATATAAGCTTGATATCCATGCTAAATATAAATAAAATCTAGGGATTTTGCATAGCAAATGTGATAATATTGAATATGTTTTAATTAACCATTCTTAATTATATAGATGGTCTTTTCTGGAATTTTTTTAATTTGCTTTAAAAATAATCATATAAAACGGCTGTCAAAATGATATTAATAATTTGGCAGTAAATACAAAAAAAAAAGCTGTTCATCAACAATGTTCTATTTCAGATTTAAATGATACGAACACAGTTGTACTTACCACACATCACGCAATGCCTTGGGTAGCTATCGCGTCTGTAGTCGTATTGGGTGGCATTCTTATCGCTGTCTTTATAGGTATAGCCATATTAACAAGGTAAGTCACTCATAACTGTTTATTGCAACAACTTATTTTTATTCATATGCTTGAATATAGACTGTAACGTAAACCATCAATTATTACAGTTACTATTCACCATTATAAAACATTTGATTTTACCGAAAATTCTTTCGACCTACCTCCCTATTTGTTTATCAGGTACACAGAAAATTTCATTCTGAACTAGTTAAAATCAGCTGTATAGGTACTGAACTGATAAAAGTGTGAAAATAACTTAAGACATAAACGACTTCTTTGATAAGGAATTTATATATATTGATGTCATGGCGTGTAGATGAAATTATTTTCTTTCAAATCACAGAGAGGTAATTAGCAGCTTCATCACTGAACAAACTTAAGGGAGGTAATCTAGTCTGCAAATTGTGCACATACTTCGACTTGATATAAGTGTTATATACCACTTATTGATAAGCACTTTCCGAACACCTCGTCTCCTATCTAATCTATAGATTGATTTAAACTCATTAGCTATGAAGGATACTCATCAATTAATCAATCGTTTTTTTTTTTTTTTATTATTATTATTTTTTTTTTTTTATTTTCTCAACATCTAGACGAGCAAGGATTCGAAAAAAGATACTACTAAACAATCTGGAATCAGGTAAGTATAATCATACTATTTTTTTCTCAATATTATGCACTTTAACATGTCAAATCAAATTTTAACTATATTATTCACGCATATACAGGAGTTGGTGATGATTTCATATCCTGTTCATAAACAGTGTTTTTAAATAATTAAGATAAATACATTTAACAAAGAAAAATACCGCAACATCAACTAATTCAAATTATTTTTTTTCAATGTAAAGCTCATCAACGATGAAACGATGTCGACATCTCCTTATTTTAAATTGATGTTGATGTTCGTCTCTGTTACCATTTGTATACAATATTTCAGTATTTCTCTCTATATACACATATCTTAAATGGTGTGAATAATGTTTAAAGTAATATTTATTTCTTATGTTATTGCGTTTGAAGTTTCAGTCGTCCAGGTCAAAAAACTATGCAAGCATATGTTATGAATGTCACGTGAATTTCATTTCCACAGAATCACCTCATCCCGTAAATGACCACTACTCCGTAAATGACCACTACTCCACCATCACAAACCACACAGATAACGCAAATGCAGAAGGAAATTATAATTCCTTTAATGACCAGCAACCAGTCCACAATTCAACGTATAAAGAAGACTATGACAAAATGAAAATGACTTCTGGAATGTATGACACTTTTCATACTAGTCGGGCTTCTATGGTGATAGGAACTGAGTATGACAGTGTTAAGATGTCAAATCTTACAACTTCCGGTCAGTATGATCACATGACACCCAAAAGTGATAACAGCAAGATAACAACGGTGATAGGTAATGAGTATGACAAATGTGTACCTAGAGATACTAAACCTTGAAACACGTGAATACGGTCTCGTGTCCCTCGGCATATGTTGTTTGCAGCAGTTTATATAACCTCTGTACATATATACCTTGAACTCAGTATGTTGTAATATATCATTATCATGTACATTTCTGTATATTGTTAAACGAATGACATTCAGTATACTTGTAAGAGCAATAAAATTGTACATTTGTATCATACTCTTTGTTTTAACTCTCTATAACTTATAACTAGTCATTTATTTTGACGAATTAAATGACATATTATATTATCATACATATTATACGTATCCAACAATAATGAAATAAGATGTAATAATAAGATAATACGATATTTAAAAACACTTTGTAAAGATGAAAAGGGTACTGACAATAAATAATAAGGCATTCTTAAAACTAGATATGAGCACGGCTAACAACACTGCCGCTCACCCATTGACTCATGCTAAATAGTGTATCAGCATTTTGCCACATGTAATCAAACCTGTAAATTACTTTATCAAAATAAACTTAATATCAAAATAAACTTTGACGAGATACAACACCATCTGGGTTTCCCCTGACACCAAGGTTTTCAACTGATTAAAACATTACGTGGATAGAATTAATGAGAAAACATTACAAACAAAGGGAACAAGGTCGATTTCTGATTATAAGATGATTCCCCTTTAGATTTAAATTTTCGTCGAGAAATATTATCTGTCTGTACAACAAATGGGTACTTACTTCATTTGTCTTTCTTTAATGTTTAAATCATTATGATCCTATTTAAAAGTTAATATGATGACCGCACAATCATCAACGATGAACAAAAAAAAAACACGATGCTTTATACAAGTATGATGTGATGGTACAGAGAGCTACCGTCTGATCCCTTTGTGAAGAACAAATCTTTCCAGAAACAGGCATGCTTGACTTGTCTATAAATCTATAAAGACTGGTTGATCCTTCCCTTAGCAAAGACTGAAATATAACATTGAAATGTGAATGCAAAAGATATCTCGCACGTATATATACGTATGATTTTACTTTAGCATTAATAATTTAAATGTTTTCTCCTTCCAAAAAAAAATTATATATATATATATCGCTTTGATTTCAATTGTTGTCCGATCTTCGAGATATTTTAGAGATGATAGTGACATCAAAAGAGGGATTTGATCAAGATTGCCAACGGCTCAATAATATCATGCATACAAAATCAGTTTAAGAAAAAGCTAGCTGTAACCCTTACGAATGATTAATCATAAGAAAACCTATCTTTTATTTTGGAAATTGATAAATAAACAGTCTTAGATATATCATAAAGATAAATATTGCATTTTTAATTGAGTAAATGAAATAGGATGTTAAGACTAACAATTAGACTTATATGGTTGTATCTATGTATTTATTGACTTCCCTATTAATGGTTCATTGCCCCTTAACTACACAAAACGAAAACAAACTTGTATATGTGTTCTTTATTACCAGAAATATGCAGCATAATTCTTTGTCATGTGAATGAATAGACGTAGTAGATTACTAAATGGTCATAAAACGATTGTTCCTTAAAGCTATATGAATTTTTTAAAAAAGTATACTATTTTTCTGTAGTTTATATACGCCCGTGAACTATTTTCGTCTATACAATGAATATATTGAAGCAAGTCAACCGTGACTTTTGAATCTCAAACTGTAAATGAAGCTGTATACTCGTAAATAAATAAAATCTCCATTGGACCGTGAATGAAAGTAATCTACAACATGTACACTTTTTCAATAACATTTACTAGTGGGTTGCTTTACCTCATGTTGTTTGCAGATTCGTCTGACAGAGCCACATTCTTGTGTATTTGTAGAGTGATGCCTGTTATAAATGAGGAAAAGCAGAAAATCTGACAAACTCGCCAGAGGGTAATCACAGGTATTTTCTTGTCGTTACACACGAATTCTCACGAGGGACTATAAGATAGAGATAAAGTTTATATATTTGTCATATTCACCCTCATTTCTGTGCTGTGAACTTCTACACATACCTTGCTGACACAATGATGACGGGACCCAGGTTTTTAAGCGTGCAATTCCTCATTTGTTCATATGTGTTGCTTGTATGTCACATTGTAAACGGCCTAACAACAACAACAACGACGACGACACCAATAGCAATAGACTCGATTGTAGGACACGCAAACGTTACTGGAAAGGAATGCAAAGAAAAACACACGTAAGTATACCATAAAACTACAGTAATATTGAAGCTATTATGAGTACACTATCTATACATTCCAGGAATCAGTAAATTAACTACTTATGTATAAATGATAAAAAAATGTTTAATGAGACATGCTAGAAGTGTTTAATTATCACTTTGTTAATTTTATTTGGTGTTTTGGAAAAGTATAGTTTAAGCTAGGATCCACGTGCTTTGGGTTTTTTTTTTTTTTTGTTTTTGTCGATCATATCGTCACATCATTGCAATGAAAAACCTTGAGAAAACAAATTTGGTATAGATATAAAGCCGAATAAAGCAATCCAGCTATTAGGTGTATCTGTAATATGATTTTCCTGTAATACCATGCTTCATTTCACGTGGATTTGAAAAGTAGGTCACTCTGGCAGGTAAAAAGTCAAAATATAGCTTACACCTAAGTCACTAAATACTGGAAAGCAATCCATGTTTTAAGATATCATTTTCATATTAAAACAAACAACTATCAAATATGGAGGTTTTTGCTGTTTACAAAGCATGATATTGCGACAGAGCTGGCGTCTAATCACCAGGGTCTACTCTGTTACTCACACAACTTGGTTTATGGTATCCGTGAAACTGCATGGACACAGTGACAAGAAATGTCGTATATGCACATTGTCAAGGGTACCTACTGAAAGTCAATATAATTCTTGTACAATTGAACTAATTTGCTATAAAGTTATGTTCATTTATAAAATTGCCATTCATGTAAATATTTTAGGTATTTTCAAACGCGTATTTTTCAATCTTTTTTCCCTTGAAATCGTGTGCATGATCACAGTAGTTTGAATAAATATTCTGACGTAATAGTCAAAGACATCAATATAGATTAATTATCATTGTAAAAAACGACACTTCATGATTGAAAAATTCAGTTCATAAAGACGGATTGAAGTGTCTGCATTATGAATGAGAAGTTAAGCCACAGATCATATTGTACAGATCTATCTATACAGATACTGAAAGTTCCTTACTTTGTCATTTCTCATCCCCCTCCTTGTACACGTGTATAAACTCCAAGCCTTGGTGTCGCACCACACAAAGAAAACACCTACCATGCCGCTAATTTGTACTGTTTTGAGAAAATAAAGCTCTTATTTTTTAATTTCATGCCGATTGAACATTGTCATTTTTTCTTAATTGTTTTTTAACTTAATTCTTAATTTCTTAATTTAAAACTGTGGTATTGTATTAAGTCTACCAACATATTGTATCATTTAAAAATGATTTTTTTAAATGCGAATAAAACTACATAATAGAATTATTGCATCAATTTTTACTTTTGTATCCTTTCCCCTACAAGCTAATAATGTGTTCTGTGTTCACTAAAATTATCTATTTAGAATGCTAGTCTAATATGACCTGATACATATTGTACCTTCTGTTGGGTTTTCGGTTAATATGGCAAACCTGTTTTCTTAAGGCAGAATGCTGTTAGTTAATGTGAATTATATTTTCAATGAATAAAGTATCCCAAATCATAAAGCTTCCTCCGTTCCACGGAATAGAATATCCGTAAATTTAAACAGCTACCCTCCGATCTCCGGAATATAGCGTTCCAAATCAAACAGCTTGTTCCGATCCCGGGATAAAACATCCCAAATCAATAGCTCCTCTGATTCCCGGAATAGAATATCCCAAATCAAATAACTTTCTCCATTCCTCCTTTCGAAATAGGATATTCTGATCCCCGGAATAAAATATACCATATCAAATAACTTTCTCCATCCCTCCATTCGAAATAGGATATTCCGATCCCGGGGTAAAATATACCATATCAAATAGCTTCCTCCAATCGAAATAGGATATTCCGATCCCGAAATAAGACACCCCAAATCAAATACCTTTCTGCGATCCTTCCAGTCGCTATGGTGACTGCTAATTTACTGGAATTACTTAGTTTTGGAGAAATAAATATCTACGCTCTTTTTTTCACGGAATATTTATGGGAGAATGGCGTATAGACTGCAAAACAAGAATGATAAATCACGGACATAGAATTTATATCTAAGTTCGTGGATAAAGTGACTGGGAAACGAGACGTTATAATTAATAGTTTCTCTATAAAGGAAGGGGGGAAGGTAAGATGGCGGGAGGATCGGATATGACAGGGCAATAGGAGGTTGAGACTAGTTGTTGTTATTGGATGGGGTATTCCCGATTTGCCCACTTTTTTAGGGTATACAATCTCAGAGAAAATTCCGGAGAATGTATCAGCTGTGAAACTGCATGAACTACACAGTTTGATAATGATGGTGTCTGATTTTCCCCACATAGAGATAATCATTGTGGCTTGGGATACCTGCTCATCATCAGCTTGCATTATCATAATGATTATGTGTGTACATGGAACAGTGTTCACTATCTGGTAACAGCACTATCATCACCACTTCTGAGATCCTCTTATAATTGTTTGTATTTGAGGTCGAAATAAAATACAGGTAAAAACACGGGTAAACACAGGTAAATAATTAAGAAATAGACTATAATCCTTATCACAACATTCTTCCGTCCATGTCATTGTAAATCGTGGGCAAATCGGGATACAGCCTATTGGATCACGAGAAAAAGAAACAATTATTGACGACAGGATAATGAGACAACTTAGTAGCTACAGTTGTAGTTGAACAAACATCGCCTCACCTTTATTTACTATCATTATTATTATTATCTTAATAATATCATTTCATGTCTTGTATCCTTCATTTTCAGCCAGACACTAGTAAATTTCTCATACGCACAAATTTAGGGCTCATGTGCATTTCAAGTGAAGTCATGTGAAAACGATATAGATCAACATTGAATTCCGAAAAGTATGATGTCTAAAATAACACAATTATGGTTCCAAAATTTTCTAAACCTATCAAAACATTTCTCCCTGAATAGTTCTTCCTTATGTTTTTCTGAATAATGATTTCACCTAGTAAGGCATCG